GCTGGGCTCTGGTGGAATCACAAGCGTAGGTCGGTTGCTGGATAGGCCAGCTGTCCACTGGCAGGTGGGGTCAGTCAGGGCCGGGAGACAGTCAGTTCTGCCAGGCTGCAGCCACTGGCATGTGGGTCCACAGAAGTTGGCGAAGGGTCTTTTTCAAGTTCAGCCAGAGGTTCAGACTGCAGAGCAAGAAAGGGGTGGCATGCGATCATTAGTATCGTTCTATATGTTGGTCTCAAGTATAAGAACACAACTACACACAAGCTCTAGTATTTTGGTTCAGAGTTGGGACTCCCAGTTGGGACCTGTGCAAAGAAAAACCTTCATGGTTCATGCCATGGTCATGGACGCAGGACCTGTGCTTATAACACAAAGCGAAAAACCTTCATGGTTCATGCCATGGTCATGGACGCATAGATCGCCTCTGCGTGAGAGAAAAATACTCATTGAAAACAAAGCGACAAAAGATTAGAGGAGAGACCAGACCGACGGCTGCCGCTAATTTGAAGTAGAAGATCTCCTTGGTAGTCTGGTAGACCATTGTTGACGCTGCACATGTGCATAGTGTTCATTTCTTTATTGACTGCTCACAAAGATGAAACCAAGTTTTTTTTTGAGAGTGCTCTGAACACTAAGTTCAGAAACATTAACTGTAATATTTGATACAATAGGATTCAGGAACAAAAGTTATTCAGATTTGGAGGTTTTATTTCATCACATAAATGAAAGAACCCTTCCTGCACATCCAGGGAGCAAGATACAGAGTGAACTACCAACATTTACTTCGTTTCTTTCAGAAGGGAACATATTCTTGTTATCACCTACAGATTTGAAGATGGCAATTACAAGCAATGAAACTGTACAAAATCGTTCAAGCACTTTCCCCCCACAGTGCTTCATTCATTTGTAGTCTTAAACTAAAAGATTCAAACCACAAGTGGAGTTCCTGAGTTTTCTGAAACTATCACTATGGGAACAAAAGAAGTTCATCCAGTTCTCATCCCATTGTATCCGTAGCAGCAATAGCTGGATCCTGAAGAGATGAACCGTGATGTTGTTGTTAGAAGTCCTGCTTTTGTATTCCTCTACTGTGCATCAACATCTGGGTGACGCAATGCCAAAGCCGCTGCATTCACAAGGGAAAATGTTAAAATGGTGACATATAATTCTAAATAATCATTGTGACAAGGAAGAAAAGAAATTTCTAAACAGTGAATCAAAGTATTGGCACAACTGAATTTCCTGAAGTTACGAGGTGGTTAATGAATCAAATAATTGTTGTATTTGGTATATACTGTTACAATCTGCGATAACGACTGAGATCCCAAGAGAATCTGTAAATAACGACAAAATCTGAATTTGTGTCTATCAATGTCCCTAAACTTATCTATTGCTTGTTTCATATTAGCCCTAGCTCCTAACCAAACAATACCATTTTTTCAAACAGATGTATGTGCACCCACAAAGAACCCAAATACCCAAATAGTGAGTCTCTGAACATGCAGCAATTATTTGTTCAAAACTATACTTGTTAGAGTACGTCAGGGGTTTACTGGGCCTGGGTTGACTGTATAGCACATTAGTGTTATGGTTAATTAGAGATAAGGGTCGCTTATTTAAGGGTCAAGTAAGCCTTGCTTGGGAGTCAAGTAAACCTCTCTATAAGGTGAGGAGATGGCATCTAATCGGCCAAGAATATGATCAATGGTTTCACTCCCTTGGTCAGGCAAGGTGGCACGGCCGCTCTCTCTCCCTCGCAGCTTCTAGCCAGGGGGTACTGTAGCGCTGGTATCTGTATCTAGCACCGCCTCTCGCCTCCCTCTCAATCCTCCACCACATAACAATCTAGTATCGAGGTCTCGGTTACGATGTCAAGCTGCCCACCTCCACCAGCCACCACCAACGCAAGATCTTGATCCGTCCCCCAGATGGAGCCTCGGTTTTCCAAATGAGTTTGTGAGACCTTGCCGAGTGGACGGGCGTGCCTCCGCCATTGGCGCATGGAGTACGCGAGACGACAATGTGCTCGAGTAAGTTCCATCGTTCCTTTTGGGACCGCAACGCCAACCACCGGTTTGGTCTGGTTGATCATTGAGTTGTATGTATTGCAGCGTATCCCACAGTGCCAGGTACTCATGGATAGCTTGCATTGATACTTGTCATGGCGCGAGCGGCGACCGCAGCGCGTCTCTACCAGGTGGGCGGCCCCTGTTCCACCACGGCGGCTGATGCAGCAGCTCCGACAGCGTCGCCTGCTGCGCGGACAAGACGGGCGTCTTCTCCGTTCTCGGAGACCGCGCGAACTGCGCGCATAAGCGTGGAGGACCTCGATCTCAATGTCTGGGGATCTCGGCATCACCGTGTATCCACTTATCTTCCTAGAACAGTGCCTGATGCCCCTCACCGATCGCAGCTTCTGTAAGTGGCGGTGGCCTTGAATCACTGCGGGGAAAATGGTCAAATGGTGAGCGCATTCTAAATAAGGCATCGAATGACGCTGTTTAAGAAACTGAAATTTCTAAACTTTGAATCAATGGTTGAGATGCAGGAGGCGGATGGTGTCCACTGAATTTGTTGAGAGTCAAAATAAAGTTACGAGTGTTGAGAATAATAAAATAAATCAAGATGTAAAAGGCTTGTTTTTAGGTGTTAGGAGTAGTCAACGTTATAAATTACTGCTTTACAATCTGCATGTCTAAAGACTGAGATCCCAAGCCTATCTGTAATAGCCCAAATCTGAATTAGAGATGTGCTTACTTAAAGGTCAATGTCCCTAAACTTATCAATTAAATCTTTCTATATAAGGAGAGGAGAGCTCGATCTAATCAAACAAGAATTAAGAACAATACCTCTTTTTTCAAACAGATGTGGCTCTCTCTCACCCTCAAGAACCCATGAAATACCATGGGTACTTGAGTCTCTGAACATGCAGCTCCCAATTATCCCTCTCAATCCTCCAGCCACATAACAATACTTCAGAGTCTCTATAGTACACAATAGACAAGCTACATTTTCTAATCCCATCAGTATAAATAATACTATGATCTCTTACAGCAAAGTTCTAAAATACAGAACTGCAATTAAAATTGGTTGGCATGCAGTAACAAGATCAGCATACTGCTTATTGGTTGAGAAGGAAAAACTGAAATTTCTGGACACTGAATGGAAATGCCACAATTGAATTTTCTGAAATGAACAGTTAAGATTCAGTAACAATACAAGATGGATCAACATAAGGGAATCCAATAATTCCTATATTTTGGAGAAAAGACTGAAATCCCAAGAGAAGCTATAAAAGAGTAAATTCAATAGAGCCTGAAATTATTTCCATCAGTATGCTCTCTGTATTTATAGTGCTTCAGATTAGTACCTGACCAAACAAGCTATACTTATTTTTCTCAAACACATGTCAGCACACCATCCACGTGACCAAAATGAGAACCCTAAAACCCAAGAAGAGTGTATTATAATTCAGAGAATATAAATTAAAACTACATAGAGTCTCTGAACATCTCAGCTACAGCACAAAGTAGGCAAGTTACAGTTCCAGTGTCATCAGATCTATTAAACAACTGACTTGCAGCAACAAGTTTACTGATCCCTCACAACTAACTCAAAACTACAGAACAGGAAAAGGAGTGAGCATATGAGCAATGGTATACACTAAAAGTATTAAAGCTAGTGTGGATACTAGCATCGTTTGATCAACTGAACACCAATCATGAGATGTGAATCACATAACAAGCAAGTGCTACGCAGAGTGCTGAGAAAACCTGGTGACATGGTGGTGAGGACAATGATCTCCATGGCGTGCCGATTGGAAGGCAGGTCCATGACCAAAAGGGTCAGCCGCCCTTGGGAGCTGGCGCGCACGCACAGCGTGATGCGGTGGATCCATTAGTTGAGCTGCCTCGCCAGGTGCCCAGGTCGGCCCTCAGATGGAACAAGGACCTGCCGTAGAATTCGTAGCTTCTCCTGAAGAACGGCCTGCCCGCATGTATACGATCGTCCGCCACAGCACCACAAAAGTGAGACGCTGTGGCTAATGGAACACTGGTTGTTACGAACCAAAACAAGCAGACAACACGTGTCGCAATGAGAACAAAATGTTCAGACCTAGATAACCAATCCTAGTTGAGTAATTGTGATGTTGCAGGATCTGATAAAAACAAGAACCGTACAGTGCACTCAACTAAGAAGTAAGAACCCCATGATTTCAGAAGACCACGTACGGGCTAATGCAGTTTGCCGAATGGCAGACATAAAGCAACCATAATTGCTAAGCCGACATTATTAAGGACATTTCTCAAGAAGGATTGCAAGTTTTGGATGTTACCTACAAAATGGGAACCTAGTCAAGAACTACTCCCTAAGGGCTCGTTCGTTTAGCCTCATTCCTGCCCACGATTCATTCCACCTCATCAAAGTCTATATAAAATTAGCTTATTCCTGGTGGAATCTTTCCCGTCATCATTCCGTAACAACGCAACGCAGCCTAAAGCGAACCAAATGAAGAGGAGCAAGAACTCGACAAAAGCCACTCCGGCCAACAGAACTTGGACTTCTGAACCAAAGTAGCAGTGATCTTGACACGAAATGCACAAAGAGGATTTAACGATGGCCCCTTTGATTCTTCACGGTGCAGCTCCTGTGAACATCACCTGTTCGACTGAATGCCCCTACCTTCCGACCCCGAACACTCGCCAAGTCGTGCACACCAGCGTGTTTGCCTCGGTGTCCACCATAGATGGCCCCACTTGCCATCCTCTGGAGTTCTGGCCAGCCCGCGGCCCGCCTCGTATCTGGGCCTGCTAGGGCCCACCTGCCAGTTGGCAGGCGAAGCCGCAACCGACCTGCGCTTGCCTTCAAAACGCCCCACCTCGGCGGCTCGGCGCCCAGGCTAACCGTTGCGAAAACCAAAAAACTCACCTGCTCCGCTGCTGTTCCCTCTCCGGCTCTCCCACTCGCCCACAGCCGCCGCACCACCACCACCCGCGGCCGCGATGGACCGCTTCCCCGACGGGACGCACGTGTGGCTGCGGAACCGCGTGCGGCGCACGTACCTCTACGCCGACGAGGACGGGTCCGGCGTCTCCCTGAGCGCGCGCCGCGCGACGGTGAACGCGGCGTGGCAGGTGCACCTGATCGTGCGCCACGGCATCGCCTTCGTCCTCCTCCGCTCCGCCGCCTACGGCCGCTACCTCGGGCCCTCGCCGCCCGTGGCGCAGCCGGACGGCCACCGCGGCCGCGCCGCCGTGAGCGCCATCCAGCGCGACTACAGCGAGCCGATGCAGGTCAACATAAGGTGGAGGGCCCAGGCCGTCACGGCGGGGGATGGCGGCGGCGACTACGTCCTCCTGTACCACTGGCGGGACGCAGAGCTCTACCTCCGCGCCAACGGCAGGTACCGCCGCTGGAGCACCGGCGTCACCGTCGCCCCCGTCGATGGCAACGACGGCAACGAGAGCACGATGATGCATTGGACGGTCGAGCACATCCCCCCGAGGCCTGCGCCGCCTACCCTTCCTGCTCCGACTACGGTGAGTCCATTGTCCCTTCTCCTTGCACTCCTCTCGTTCGTTGATTTGGACGGAACACGATTCTTGGAACCTGTCGATTCCATCAACGGCTTACTTGGAGTAACGATCCTGGTTGTTTCTTCTTGTTTTTCTTTTCGTAAATTCTATCTAAAAACTGCTGAATCTTGGCTACTGCATGGTGCAATCCTTACTACATTTAGCCTGGCCGAATCCTGCATTTGTTATTGAATTCTTGCTCCACTGCATTCGGTTAGCTTTAGGGATCAGCCAATTTAGCCGAGATTTATAAAATTCTGTCTGTCATTCGTCAATCTGCAAAGGATCAAGTTGTGTAGAGACCATGGGTTCCTAGTTATTTAGTAAACTCTTTTGTTCTTGTATACTTGAATGATTTGAGTTATCAGTCAAGGTCTAAACATTTTGTTCTCGTCACGATGTGTATTCAGATACTTGTGTCTTCTGTTGCCATAGGACCTGGGAGGCCGCACTGGTCAGTTCCAGCGGCGCACTGGGCCCATGATGGATCAGGAGCGGCAGATCCGGTACTTTCTGGCGGGCAATGATGGGAAATTCCTCCGCATGGGGGCATTCAGGTTCCTAGGGCGGTCCGTGTTAAACCTGACGAACCAGATGGCGATCAAAGTGGACGAGGACATGTCCGCAATCACGCTGTGTGTGTACGCCGGCGTCTTTGGGAGGCTGACCCCTCTGGTCGTCGACCTGCCTCGCAGCCAAGAGCCTTTGAACATCATCGTCCTCCCCATCAGTTCACCAGGTGAAAACTCTTCAGTTCCCTCGGTGGTCTGTATGTCCAATGTTTATAGATCATATTATCATATTGATGATGGTAGTTCATATGCACATATATTCAGTACTCTTCTTGGGAACTTACTTACCATCTTGTGCTTGATGAAATGGCAGCTTTGTTCAGTTAGCAAAACCCTGAAACTTGTTGTAGATAAGCAACAATCAGTTTAAAATATTCAGTTGTTTTCAGTAGTCAGCCAAGAGTTGACCTTTCTACTGATTGTCCTTTTTCGTTATTCCCAGAACTGTTTTAGATTATTGAACTGCTGCAATAGTTGGATCAACCATTACATGCTTCCTAATTGACACATTGTTTTCACTTGCCGGTTGCAAATTCAGCTGCTATGAGGTTGCGACACCCAAACGTGGATGCACCTGAACCTGAACCCGCATCCGCACCTGAAGCCCCACCCGCTTCTGCTTCCACTTCCGCACCCCCACCCGCACCCTAGAGGCATATGAGAGCAGGACTGCTGACAGCAACTTCGGGATTGGTCTCTCGGATACAACTACTTGAGAATAGGCCGTAGTTTCTTGGTTCATATAGTTTCAGAGAACTCAGCAATTCTTCTGGTTTCTGGTAGTTTAATTGGAGGCATTGTCCTGACAGGAAGCAGTTTATTTTGACCTTTCAGTTCAGTTGCAATACTCAGGAACTGATCTAGTTACCATCTTCATCTCTGGTATTGTTTTGATGGAGTTGGTGCTTGAATGATTTTGTGCACTGGCATTGGTTGTAGATACCATATTGTGTGATAACAAGAACACATTCTGGTGGTTTACTCTATATTTCCTCATGAATCCTGACACACCTGATTTTTCAGTGTCTTTTCTGATCATAGCTTTCAGTCCTGACCTGAATAAAAATCATGGCTGTATCATTTGTTTGCTGAAGCTCCCTGTTACTTTTTCATCAAATTGATGGAACATTATGTTCAGAAATATCATCAGCCTGTTCGTTTGTCCTTGGCTTGTCGTAAACGATCGTAAATTTCCAGCCGAAACAGTATTTTTCTCTCACACAAATTAGCCAGCAGTACTTCTTTACGAACCAGCAACGAAACGAACCAGCCAACCGAACAGGCTGCATGTGGGCAGTGCATTTCCTGTTACATTTTACTTATTCTTTTGAGATGAAGAAGTTGACAGTTAATGTTGGGCAACCCAGTTGTGAACAGCTGCTTTCTTAGGTGTTGAACTGTTGGGATGCTCCCAATATACTGAACTTACTGTTCAGCCAAACATGAAAACTGAGAACCATTTTACTGAACTTATATTATGTCTACTGTTGAACTGTGAAATGTTCCCGAATATATGGTTACATGCATTATTTTCTTGATTATCTGCTGCTTCCATCAAGTACAAGTTCGACCGGATTTGCATGTTGTTTTTTCTCACCCGAAAAAGGAGTTTGCACGCTGTACTGCCGTTTACATTCTCTTCTTTTTACCTGGTTCAGTCATTACTTGAGTTGTGAGGCCTTCCCAAACCTTTGCGTGGCTAGGTAGCTTTCCATACTGGACAGTTGATTGTTCGCTTTCCGGTGACATGTGGCAGTGGCGGCATGCATGGTGCAGTGCACGAACACGAAGCGATCATATAACCACAAGCTCTGCACATTCTGTTCGGAAGAAAGATGGCAAACAGTGCAGTTCAGGTCATTGCTTTCTCCTGTCCGGCAACACATCTCACCTCCTGCTTGCAAGCTCAGATCCTCAGGCCTTCACGACGCGAACCCGGAATCCGTCTGGGCGACGAGTGCGACGGCGCCCGAGCCCCAAGGTGAAGGGGGCAGAAGAAACTGGGCACCGTGTTCGCAGCCCGATCTTCAAGCACACCGACGGCGTGGAGTGCCGGGTCGACCCCAAGGCCCAAGGGCAAGGTCTCCGAGGCGTTGTGCTGGGTCAGAATGTTCGGCTCATACGCTCCGCTGAAAACTGCTGACGGAAGGCACAAGGATGCGATCTTCCGTAGCAAGTTGTGGAGAGGCAATTCGTCAGCTTTTGTTTAGTTCTTATCTAATGTTTTGTTCTCACGGCGTGAATTCTTGAACCCTCCCTCTCGATGATGAACAATAACTCTGCCGTTCGGTGCGTGAGTATGTGTGCAACGTGTCTCTCGGCTGTGTTAATGTATAGGTGTGGAGTACAGAGATGGTCGACGAACATAGAGAATGCCAAGTAGAGACGTGCCGTGCCGATAGACTAGGAGCGGTAAAGGATGGACATGAGGCTCGGACCGAGAGACTAAGATATGATACTTAGGGACATCAACAAGCAAGAGTATATGTGGAGGAGTAGACCGCGTTGACCAAGTTAAGACGGCGGTTGACCAAGTGAAGCGAAGACACTGGAAGACTTGGTGATCAGGCAGTTGAGGACGACAGTGACACTTGTCGAAATTGTGGAGGAGGCGTAGCGGATACGCTTCTCAAGGGGGTTTGGTGGTTTGGGCCTCAAAACCACCAGCAGGACGGTTTCTAGGGTTTGGGCTTCAAAACCCGGTTGAAGTCCCGGTGGGAACGATAGGAGGCACGTGGCGTCATCGCGAAGCTTGCATCAAGGCGAAGCAAAGTCGTGAAGAGCCCATAGCCATAGAATGGACATATCTTGAGTTGAATGATTTTGTCCCTAGGTTAAGTGGTCCAGCTAAAATATCTAAGAGCATGTTAGAAATGTGTAATCTATACCTATTAATAAAAAGACAAAATTTCCGCTGATTTTTGTCTGGATTTTTTTGGTCCGGCTATTTATAAGGATGATGATCGGGTAAAAAATTGCTTCGGACGCAACACAAACAGGAAAAAAAAACTCCTCTTCCGAATCGGACTCTTACAACCATTCAAATCCGACCCTGCCAATCTAATCCAAGTCCAAATCAAACCAAAGGAAAAAACATCCCACCAAATCAAAACCATCATGGACATGTAGACCGAGTCGAATAGAACATACCGAGACATAAATCAAGGAGTGCTACATGCACGAGCGAACGACGGCGGACACCGAAACACGGATCTGGTGCGGCGTGCTTGAAAAACCAAGCTTGAGCAAGGCTGCTGGGACGCCTTGCTCCGACTAGCTGACCGCCGCTCTCGAGTCGCCACCGGCCGCCCTGCAAACCTATGCTCAGACGCCCTGCTCCAGCATAGTTGGCCTCCACGCGCGAGTTGCCATCGGCCATCCTGCATAAGCCGCACCACTGCATGCCGCCGCGCACTAGCCGCTGTTGGGCCGCCCTGCTCCAGCACAGCTGGCCACCGCCGACCATCCTGCACGCGTCGCCGCCTGCCATGCGTGAGCCGCACAAGGAAGACGCGCACAAACCACCCTGCTTCAACACAGCAAGCCGCCACCATTGGTCTTCGTCAAGAAGCAAAAAGTGAAAAAGTTTGCGGTACATGGGAGAGCTTCCCTCTGCTCCTTCCTCAAATCTGTGGGCCCAGGGCAGATTTGCCCCCGTGTAGGCATGCGCGCGCAAAGAAGGCTGCCGCGGAGGTAGACGCAGCGCAGAGGAGTCACTGCTGGGAAGACGGGCGCGGTTGTCGGTCGCTGAGAAGGAGCCGTCCAGGGGCGTCCTCCGCTGCAGCTCGCAGAGGAGCCGTCGAGTCGCACGCATCCGCGGCTGCCGCTGCCAGGGCATGCGTGGAGGTGCCGAAGAGGGCAAGCAAGGGCGGCGTGGAGGTGCGGCAATGGCCTGTGGCCGCGACGACGGCGCTTCACGCCATGTGCGAGACCAGGAGGTGAGAGGCCAATAGGCATGTGCGGTTGTGTGTGTTGGTGATAAGGTAGAGAGAGAAAGAATAATAAAGAGAAAGAACAAGAAGAAAGAGGAAAAAGAAAAAATGTATTTTGGACTTTTTATTCTTTTTAACTAGAAGAAAAATCTATTTTACCAAACGTTTTTAAAAATATTGTGGTTATATATAGTGTATGTCTTATATTTATGGGTTGAAAAAATATTGTAACAATGTCCATCTTATTTATGCTTGATCCGTTTTCTATGAAATAGAAACAAAATACTATATAAAATGGTATTTATGGTTGATCTTTGCTAAATGCAAAACAATAAACAGCATGCAGATAGCGAAATATAGTCTATTATACGCCCCGTGTTTTTAACTGTCTATGCTTAGATTCAAAAAATTTCAGACATGAGGATGTCTGTATGTTGAACATACTCAGCCGATCCATCCTGATACATAATAAGCGTGGCCTTTAGAATTAGTGGAGCTCACCTTAAGATCAAAGCCCTCCAATGATTAAATTTATGTTTGTGTATACATGTTTTCTTGTTTCATTTCTACGGCCGAGCAGTCTAGGCCTAACATTATTTTCTATTTTTTTCCTTAAAATGAGTGGTACTCTGATGTCTCATCTTTTGATTTAAAAACTATTTGGTCTGAAGTTATACAAGCATAGCCTGCGGAGTTCAATCGTAAGATGAATTAAAATACCATGCATCATTGGATAAATCTCTAATCTTTTTATGTTTGTACGAGTTAGAGCAAAACATAGTTAATTTGAAGACAAATTGAAACACATATCATTTTATTCAAAAGTCGTGTAAGTGATCATTCAATAAACTTGTGTCCCGTTGCAACGCACAGGCATTTTTGCTAGTAGCTCTATAAATAAGACAGAAGGCTGCCTCAACTACCTATCTCTCCATGCTTTCATTTCTAGACTCACTAGTTTAAGTTTCTCACTCTTTAGTTTTAGTTTTCTTGTCTGTTGAGATCCACAGTAAGAAAATCATTCCTCTGTTGTGTTTAATCATTCCTATGTAAGAATCAGATCTTGTTGGTGATGAAATAAAGCAATCATTCATTGTAAATCTAGACTTCTTGATTTGTGTTCTTGAATCTTTTCGGTTTTCCCACTCTCGAACCCCCTTCTCTTGTATTTTGGGTTATTTCGTTTTTCCTGCGATTTTGAGGCCGAACCTAGTGCACAGAATTCAGTATCTAACAGTTGCAATAATAAAGGAGGGAAATGTGGCAACGACGGATAAAGTGCAACAATTGCGCCTAGAAGAATCCAGTCATCAAGTTCCGATAGTTCTCTCAAATTGGCTAGAAACTTTGCAGACTTAAAGATTCGGAGAACCCTCCGTGCTTTGACCAAATCAACATGACGAGTTCTATTCCATGGAGAGGAGAGAGAGGACATGGGAGCTCACCTAAAGTCCGATTCCAGAACTAGGTCTGGAAAAAGAAGGACCGACATCTGCAATCTCTGAGGAATAGTCTCGACAATCCAATGCGTGCTCAGATCATTGGGGTTCTATATAGTGACCCCGATGTGCCACGTGTTGCACCTGCAATGGCGCATGAGGACTTCATTGCCGGTGGCGTCCCCACCCTGAAGGCATGCCATAGGGCGTCGACGTTATCGGGCTGGCCGCAGAAGATGTGCTGGCGGAGGAAGTGGCCGTGTTGTGTCTCGAGAGGGCG